ACTTACATCTTTACTGTTTAAGCAAATACAATTTATGAGCCAGTATTAATTTATACCCTAAACATTTTTATGTTTTTGTGTGGTATTTTAAAATTATTGTCCAAACACAAAAATAGAGGTCCAAATGTGGATTTCCTAAAATACAAGACACATTTCTAGTATAGTTGGGTCTTGGGAATGTAGTGGAATAAGAAAGAATAGCAACTTATAGCAAATTGCAAACCTCGTTGAATTAAAAGCAGATTCTTCTAAAAGAATCTGCTTTTGGATATATTTCTGAATTTATATCAACCTCCTGAAAGGGGTGCTTATGTGTTTTGTTACTATGATATCACTTGCCTATTTTCTACAAGGTCATCTTTCATTTTCTTATTGATTTGTAAACATTATATATCGAGGATAGCAGTTCTTTATGGTATATAATGCATTTATACATTTTATTCTACTCTGATTATCTTTTAATCATATATTAGCTCTCATCTTCTCCTGCGTGAATTTTGTTATGAAGATTTCTTTTTTTTTTTTAATCCTCACCCGAGGACATTTTTCCATTTTTTGTTCAGGTAGAGTGGGAGGGAGAGAGAGGAACAGAGAGAGAGAGAGAAACATCAATGTGAAAGGAACACATCGAGTGGCTGCCACCCGCACAACCGACCAGGGCCGGGGACAAACTGCAACCGAGGTACATGCCCTTAGCGGGAACCGAACCCGGGTCTCTCAGGACCGCAGGCCGACGCTCTAACCGCTGAGCCAAACCGGCCAGGGCAAGATTTCTGCATTTTATATCAAATGTGTCACTTTTATAATATTTAATAATTTTCTTCTGTTGTCAGTATTAGCTTATTTCCTTTGAAGTCATTTATTTTATATTGTTCATTTAAGTTATTCTCTTTTATGTTGTTTATTTTTTTAAAAAAACTATCTGGTGATATGTATATTTAGGCATAAAAGTAGATCAATAAAGGCAGCTGATATGGGGCTCCTCTGCATTGGTACATGTCTGTTTTGCCAACAGGCCTCTTTCTTGAATTGGACGGATGAGTGTAGACTTTGTGTGTGTATGAGTGTGTGTGTTCAGGGAGTGCTAGTTGACTAACAGACTTTATTTTAAATTGAGTGTATGAAAAGCAAGGAAGCTCACTTTGCTTTATCTTACTTCTTACCTGATTGTCAAAATAAATTACTTTTGGAGCAGAATATTTATTTATTTAAGTATGTTTTTATTGAGTTTTGAGAGAGAGAGGAAGGGGGAGAGAGATAGAAACATCTGTGTGAGAGAGATACATTGATCGGCTGTCTCCCGCATGTCCTCTATTGGGGATCGAACCTGAAACCAGAGCATATGCCGTGGCCGGGAATCAAACTGGGACCTCTCAGTCCATGGGATGACGCTCAATTCACTGAGCCACACTGACCAGGCTGGAGCAGAGTATTTAGAAGGCTACACACCAAAATGTTAACAGAGAGAGGTAAGATTATGGTGGTTTCTATTTTCTAATTTTTGTTTATCTGTGTGTCTGATGTTTTTCTAGCATTAATATTTATTTATTTATTTAATACTCACCCGAGGACATTTTTCGATATTTTGTTCAGATAGAGTGGGAGGGAGAGAGAGAGAAAAAAATCGATGTTAAAGGGACCCATCGAGTGGTTGCCACCTGCACGACCCAACCAGGGCCAGGGACAAACTGCGACTGAGGTACGTGCCCTTAGTGGGAACTGAACCCGGGTCTCTTTGGACCACAGACCGACGCTCTAACCACTGAGCAAAACCGGCCAGGGCTCTAGCATTAATTTTTAATTCAACTTTCTCTCATTCTTTAAACCAAGAACAACGAAAGAATCTTGCCTGATTCCCCCAGTCATTATAAAAGGGAATTAGTAATCCTACCTCTTGCCTAGATTCAGCCTGTCCAACAGTCTGGAAAGACATCTTACCTAACAGAACTCAGAGAATATATCTAAGAAATGAAACATTTAAAGTTAATCTATAAGTAAGCTATTAATAGCAGTTTGTACTACTGTGAACCCCATTGGGGGTTACAGTAACAAAATGTTCAGTTTGTTTGTTTCTTAACTGATCATGGCTAAGAAGCAACATTTATTTTTTCCATCTCTGCCTACTCAAGGGGAAATCAAGCTCCTGCTTAGTCAGAGGGCTCTCAAAATGAGAACATTGTGTGCTAACTTGTACCCACTCAGGACTGCATAAAGGCTCTCTGAGGTGACACAGATAAGCAGATAAACAATGGCACTTAAGAATCTATTGAAGTAGGCAGGCAATATTACTTCCAGGATGTAATAGTGTCCCCTGTGGAAATCAGAAATATGAGTTTTCTCACTACAGGCTGTTCTCTCAATACAGGTTGCTCTCTGAGTGTTGATTGGCTATAAGCAAGTGGGTGGGGGGAAGATGTTCAGCCACAGGCCTGATCAATAAATTTTGTGAACAAAGCAATATCATATACAGTGGAACCTCGGTTCTCGAACTTAATTTGTTCTGGAAGGCTGTTCGAGAAGTGATTTGTTAAAAAACTGAACCATTTTTTCCCATTAGAAATAATGTAAATTGAATTAATTTGTTCCAGACCCCTAAATGACTGCCTGTTTTAACCTTTCTTATATACAGTATATCTCTAATGTACTGTTTAATCTATAAACAAACACTCCTTTTCTTAAATTTATCAAATCAGCTGCTACTAGCAGTAAACGAATCACTTTCAGCACTGTTCCAGGGCGCCTGTCAGGGGTCGGTATGCAGCATCTTCGATTTTTCACTAATTTTTCACACCTCTGAAATGCTGTCTTTTACCCAAATCAACAGCAGCTTCCTACCTCTTCCATCGCCTGTGATTGTGTTTCTCTCACACCTTTAGCAACATTAGCACTCTCGATGGTCTTTTTATGTTTTACAGTTGTGCTAATCGTTCATTTCACCAGTAACCCAAACCAAACCAAAACCTACAAAAATATTCACAGCACAGGTTTAGCGGTAAACTTATTCCCATTCTCTCCTTTGTGGCCTCAGAGTCGTTTTTTGTCATGGATCAGCATGAAAAGGTTGTCAAGTGGAGAACCCAAAGTTTTGTTCAATGACCATGACGTTTTTTTCCGTGAGCAACTTGGTGGAGAAAGGAATTGTTTGAGATGGGAGATGTTCCGAGGTTTGTCTGTGTTTGTTTTGTCTTCAGTCTCCCGCTTGAGGGGCAGCTGGAGGCAGCTGAGCACAGCAGTAAGGTCTTTACTTTTAGGTTCACGCAGACCTGTGTTGTTTCTAGCTCATTCTTTTCACAGTACCTGTTCCTTAAATTGCGGTTTTCCAATTAGAAAAAGAGTGGTATTAATTTCTACTTCGTAGTGATTTTGTGAGGATTTAAGTAGGTAATGTAAATATATATAATGCATTTGCCATCCGGTAGACACACATTAAGAGGTCATGGAGCTGGGAAATGAGCTGAGATTGAGTGGGATACCGGTGGGGCTGGTGCATATCAGGTGGGACCACTGGTCAGTCTCTTTCCTCGTCTTGACATATTGGCAGCACTTGACACTCACTTCTTCTTGACAAACTTAATTCACTCTGGTTACTGGGAAATACAGTAAGTTATGCATGATACTCATTCCTAACCCTAACCCTAACCCTAACCCTAACCCTAACCCTAACCCTAACCCAACTCTATGTTGTGATACAAATTTAATCATCAACAAGTATTTATTCAGCCTTCACAGATCCCATTTTCCTCCAGGTACTGTCACATAAAGATATTTGGATGGGCCCTGATTACTATAAATTCAAGGTTCTGGTGTCCAGAAATTGTAAAACGCAGTAGATAGAATTGTTTAGGCTATGTTTTAATTCACTCTATTACCGTCTTAGGGTATTTTATTCAGCAATAATTTGTTCAGTACTTTGCAATCATTCATTTGTATTTATGTACTAAGGATATGGCATGAGTTTTGCGTTGTGAGTGAAGAACTCCAAACTGAACAAAACCAGTGGCCTGCCTCGAAGGGCTCAGAGATTTAGCAAATAAACAAATATTTGGAACATGACATGGAGTGACCACCACCAAAAATATGTACAAGATACAGTGGTATAGCACAAAACAGGGAGTTTGCAGGGAAACTTTCACAAATGTGGAGGTGATTCAACTTGGTTTTGAAGAAAAATTAAGAGCTCAATAGGACCAGGTAGTTGGATGGGGTGGGGAAGCATAAAATAATGTGTGAAGAGGGATTTAAATGTGAAAAGAAACAGGTTATGTAAGTAACAAGTTAGGTAGGTGCACACACACTAATTTGGCAGAAACATAAGTAGTTCCATAAAATGCCCTGGGACGGGGGAGCAGGGACCAGTTCATGAGTTGAACACTATGCTAAAGAGATGTGATCTTCTGAAAGGCTTCAGCTGTAGAATTAAGTTGTACTGAATGGGTAAAACTTTATGGGAAACTGAAATAATGTATGTAGCCAAACTTAAAAACATTTTTACTCCTAGATGATTTTCTGGAACTACTTTCATACAGTAAAAATTATTATTGGATGTACTTATGCATCGACTTTGGTTAGTTAATGATTTTATTAATCTTCCACAGCGGGTTACTTTTGTGAGTGAAAGGTTGCACTAGCTGGATGGAACATTGCAATCACAGAAATAAACTAGGAATGTCCCACACGAATCAGACATAGGACCAACCAACTTTGACCCAAATGGGCTGATGGCCCAGGTGGAGAAATCTTTGTTTCCTGCTCTCTGGGCACTCACCTCCTAAGGAAGGAGGAGTAGGTGTGATGTGATGGAACATACTGTGACTGTAAGCCCCATATTTGGGAATGTAGGTGGGGGTGAACTTGGATTTCCTGTTAATCCCAGGGGGTTAAAAATGAGAGCTCAGAAAGCTGAGAGCACCCAAAACTCAGGCTCATCTTGAAAGACCCTGTGATACAGATCACTGGACAAAGAGATCCTGCTGCCGATTTCTCTCCAGAAGTCTGTAAACATGAAGCTGTTTGTGGTTCTTATTATTCTGCTGTTTGAGGTGCCCACAGGTAACTTGTCCAAATGTACCATGACATCCTAGGAGCTTATACTCACTTTGAACCTCAGTTTTCTCATCTGTTAAGTGAGTATAATGACTCCGTTTCATAATTGTATTTCATGATCTTACAAATGTGAAGCACCAAGTTCTCCCTTGCTGTTGTAGGAAGGCAGGTGGTCTTTTTGTGGCTCTAATAATACCTTTCTTACCTTCAAAGGTGCTCCCTGGTTCTGAAATTTAGGATAGGGAGAACCATGTCTTTGTTCTTTACCTTTATTCCATGGGCTTGTCCAAACTTGTGTACAAGGGCAAATAAAGATCTGGAATCAGGAGATTTAGGAACTCAATGCAATATTCTAAATAGGTGACTGGATTTCTAGGGAGACAAGTATATATGGAACTGAGTTTAATCCCTGGGCAACACATTTATCTGAGATCAAAAGGAGGAAGGAGAGAGAGAGAGAGAGAGAGAGAGAGAGAGAGAGAGAGAGAGAGAGAGAGAGAATATGTTATGGAGAAGTAATAGAAGCTGAATAAAGGAAGGCATTTTCAATGGCATTTATTGCTGAGACCCACGTGGGCAGAGTGAGATTTCTGCTGCCCATGTCAGTGAGTGTAACACCCAATTATACTGTTAACTTAAAAAGTCTTGTCTTTGATACTCTTTGAAAAAATGCCTTGGTTGGTTTTGCTCAGCGGTTAGAGCATTGGCCTGAGGACCAAAGAGTCTCGAGTTTGATTCCAGTCAAGGGCTGGTACCTCGGTTGCGGTTCAGTCCCCGGCCCAGGCCTGGGTCGTGCAGGAGGCCACCAGTCAATGTGTTTCTCTCACATCAATGTTTCTCTCTCTCTCTCTCTCTCTCTCTCTCTCTCTCTCTCTCTCTCTCTCTTTCTCCCCCTCCCTCCCTTCCTCCCACTCTATCTGAAAATCAATGGAAAAATCTCCTTGGGTGAGGATTACAATAAATACATATATTAAAAAAAATTTCTTTGGCTCTGAATTGTGCCATGGTGACAAGATGGTACTCTCTGGAAACACTGGGCTGAGGTAAGGCTGAGGCAGTGCTGACTTTGGAACATGGAAGCCAGGATCCTAGGTGTGGGAACAGGTTCAGTCGATAACCATAAACTGAGTTCTTCCTTCTCTTTTGTCACATAAGTTCTGATGTGCTCAGGGCTTATTGACTATTGGCTAGGAGCTGGGGTATTGATGTCCTTAATTTGGGATGGTTTTCAAGGAGGAGGCTCTGAATTTTCTTGTATCAGCATGAGGTTCACTTTGGGACCATGGGAGGCCAGAGCTTATGGGGAACCATATACCTCTTCCACTCAGCCTCAGGAACTAATCTGGGTTTAATGTTCTTTTCTGTGCACAGAGGCCGCACGCATCCAAAAATGCTTTCGTAATATAGGAGGCAACTGCAGGAAGAAGTGCGAAGTGGGAGAAATCAATGATGGGTTATGTGTAAATAAGAAAGCATGTTGTATCAATGAAGCCCACAACAAAAAGTACGAGGAAGAACAAGAGTTACTTCTCTCTTCATTGCAGTCTGATAAGAAGCTGGACTATGCCATTTTACCCACAATCACACTTGTCACAGTCTAACTATGAATCAAGTGCTTGCTCTGTTGGTCGCCACTTTTTCTAAATCAAAAGTGCCACCTAATTCAACAGGCTGGAACTGGAGATTTATCTACTTTTTCCTGTGAACTTGATTCTCCACATAATAAAGTCCTATGCTTTTCCATGGATTTATTTATTAATGTAGTCATTCACTTTTTTGAACACTTCAAAGTGGTTATTATGTTCCAGGCATTATACTAGTAGGATGGGTGTTATAGAGCTGAAGTGAACATGTATGTTGGTAGAGGTAGAAGTTGGTCCCTCCATTTTCATAGTGTTTCAGGTATTACTCCTCTTTTTTAGTGAATTTTTTTATGTCTAAGCAGATCTGAATGTCCCAACCTTGGTGTGTATGTAGGGATGAGTACAGAAGGTTTTTCTAACCACCAAGAATTCATTAGAGGAAAGCAAAATATTTGCACATTTTCATAACATGTATTGGGGCAGGTCTAATAGGCAGTACTGACAGCTAGTGATAATTCCCTTGCATCGTTCGAAGCCCATTCAGTGTGCATGCTCCATTTCCTTTTCTGGTAGCAATTTGAACATCCAGTTGACACAATTTTAGACATATATTACTCTTAGGATTTTTTAAAATATTGTATACTCTGTTTCAATAGTGTGAAATTTACAAACTTTCTGCTATAAGATGAGTAAGGTCTGAGCATCTAATGTAAAAATATGGTGATTATATTTGATATCATTGTATTGTATAACTGAAATTTTCTAGGAGAGTAAAAATTAAATGTCCACCACCCAAAAGAGACAGGAAGATAAATACGTGTGTGAAATTATGGTTATGTTAATTAACTAGATGGGGAAGTCTTTTCACAATATATATGTATATCAAATCACCATAATGTACTCTTTAAATATCTTACAATTTTGTGAGTCAATTATACCCCAATAGAGTTGAAATTAAAAATAAATTTAAAATAGTGTGAAATTTAAAACCTTATAAGTAAGGAGGACATATTTAAGAAACTCCTCACAAGCTAAACACAGTTTCAATAAGTCATGATGGTAGGACATGCTCTCCAGATGAACAGAACAGAACATTTTGTGATGACATCCATTGATGTTGCTTGGTTCAAGTATAGGCCACAGACAACTTTTGTGGAGTTAACATTTTTACTTATCTGGGATAAAGAAATCAATGGGTCTATTTGTCCATATGCATCTTGCCATCTTGTTTCACTGGGAGGATGGGAAGACAAATATTTAGATGGATATATTAATGTTTTCAGAGCCTACAATTACCTTTTAGTAACTGAGGCTTTTAAGAATTCTGGAGAAGTGAACAGGAAACAAGGACTGGTCTAGATTGCAGAAGTTTCAATAAACTGTTTCAACCTATTTATTAGACGGGGTTTTTAAAAGGCTTGTATAGAAAGCCCTTTCTTTATTGCAATCCTTCACAGGCTCCTGTCTTTTTCAGTCTTTCATCACTGTAGATAACCAGGGGCATTTTTAGGGAGGGCCCACTTAGTCACCACAACAGGAAGATGGGTCTTACCCATTGTCTTTAATCTATATGTGTCCTCTATGCTACATGAGCCCATTGATAACTTAGATACAAGAATCCATTTTGGCCTAGTTAGTGTCAGATCACCCGGTGAAGTGTCTCCTGTGTTAGGAGACAGGGGTATAATGGACTGAGTAGAAAATTAAGCCTTGAATTCTACTTTGGGTGGATCTAATCTTTGCTTTGACTTTTTCCCTATCATCCTTCTTATATCCCTCCATACTCATAGGAGAAGTGGACACAGTCAGGATTGTTAGATGCATGTTTATTTGTCTACCTTATTTTAATATATAAAATTAAATAAAAATCATCTCATACTTTTATTATGTATACTTTTAATATAGGCAGTATTATTTGTACCTTATTTTTCTTGGACCTGTCTCAGAGCACTTTCCAAAATCTTCAGAGAACATTTAAAATTGCCAGAATGTTCTAGGTAGTTTTCTATTAGTAGCAATTGGGACCACTCATCTCTCTGGGGGGTCTTGGAAAATGCTCATGAAAGATGCCAGAGATATTAATAATTTCTTATTCATACTCATCCCTTCTTAGAAAATTTGCCAATAGTTCTTCTCAGGGAGCCTGTTTTTTTGGGCTCTGGTAAGAGTAGAGGGCCAGATAACCCTGCTATCTTGGCTACAATAGATGGAGCAGGGTGGGTAACAGATACGTCGAGGCTAAACCTTCTGTGGATATCCAGTTTGGGGCCTGGTATAGTGTAGAACAAGAAAAGCAGGAGGGCCCTGGCCGGTTTGGCTCAGCGGTTAGAGCATCGGCCTGCGGTCTGGAGAGACCCGGGTTCGGTTCCCGCTAAGGGCATGTACCTCGGTTGCAGTTTGTCCCCGGCCCTGGTTGGTTGTACAGGTGGCAGCCACTCGATGTGTCCCTTTCACGTCAATGTTTCTCTCTCTCTCTCTCTCTCTCCCTCCCTCCCACTCTATCTGTACAAAAAAATGGAAGAAGGTCCTCAGGTGAGGATTAAAAAAAAAAAAAAAAGAAAAGCAGGAGGGAGGAGAGTGGGAGAGATACTTCCAGTCCTTGGTTCTATTGGTTCTAGTCTCCAAGGCCTCATGTAATTGTTAACATTTCTCATAATAAGTCCTCCTTTTTTGAAGGGAGTTTTAGTGGGCTTATGTTTCTTGTGGCCTCATATCTGAGACATGACAAATTGTGTACCGGGTAATTTTTCAGCACAGAGGTACAAATTAGTACTTAATTAGTAAAGACCAGGATAATGATAATAGTTAAGATCCCCTTCAACAACTGGTTTCAGAGATAAACAAATATTTCAGACAGGCTGTGATCTAAGCAACTTTATGATGATATGTTTTGTTCATAGATATGCTCTAATTTAGCCTCAATTATTCAGTGGCTCTTAGGAATATATAGATATTCATTACCAGTGTGGTACTTTTCAAACTTTCAAAAAATAACCAATTAAGAAGGGGGTGGGTGGAATTGGGAGAAGGGTGTCAATGGGAGAAAAAAGAGAAACATCTGTAACAAAAATAAATTAATTTTAAAAAACCAATTGATACTATTACAAAACATGGACAAACTAGTGAAAAATAATTATAAGAAACAGTAATTCAGATATTACCATTAAATAACCCTATTCAAATAATGCATGTTGGCTAAATATCAAAAGCCCAGATCTCCTGAGTCTGAGAATGAGGTCACATAAAACTTGGGCACATCTGAAATACTCATCTTGTGTCAAAATAGAAGCAGGCAAATGATAGAATAATACTTTTTTAGCATTCTTTATGTTTCAACCTGGTAAGAGTAGGAAAGTAATTACCTGTAGCTTCTGCAAATGAAAATAAATTATGGTACATAGATAAAATAAAATATAGTTAAGCAATTTGAAGTAGTAAATTAAAATTTAGCAATGTATCTATATTCTTTAGTGAAGAACCATGACACAGTAAGCATTACCATGCTGGGAAACGAAGGCATATATATATATATATATATATATATATATATATATATATATTTTTTTTTTTTCTTTCTTTATTGATTTTTAGAGAGATGGAAAGGGAGAGGGAGAGAGAGAGAGAAACATTGATGAGAGTGAACATCGATTGGCCGCCTCCTGCATGCCCCCCACTGGGGATTGGACCCACAAGCTGTACATGTACCTTGACTGGGAATTGAACTGGCGACCTCTTGGTGCACGGGTAGACATTCAACCACTGAGCCACACCTGCCGGGCAAGAAGACGTATTTCAAGCTAACACAACTGAAGACTTGCACAACCACACAGCACCCCACCCCTGAATTTGCATAGAGTCTACTTTTATTTGGAAAAGTTAAAAGAAAACAGAATAACTGAACATCACCAAAATTAAAAAAAATTTGTGCTTCAAAGCACACCATGAAGAAAGTGAGAAGATAATCCACAGAATGGGAGAAAAGTTTTGCAAATCCTGTATCTGACAGGGACTTGTATCTAGAAAATGTAAAGAACTATTGCAACTCAGTAATAAAAAGACAACTCAATTAAAGAATGAATAAAAGATGGTCCCCATCTTCTTTAGACGTGTTAGGCTGGCTGGGAAACTGATGCTGCTGTTACTATTATTGATCCTGGGACGTGGCTCTAGTACCAGGGCCTTAGGACAGTCAGACTGGGTGAAAATGGTGATAATAAAAAATGGCTGCTCTGGAGGCCAAACGCTGTCATCAAAATGAGTGTTGCTTTGGTGACTGCAATTTGCCACAGGACAAAATTTTAAAGGAACAGATCAAAAAAAGCTGGATACCTTTAGAGACAACAATGAAATTCAAAAGGTTAAACCATCTAACAACAGACTTTAAATGTAGTAGTAGAAACAGTGCACCAATCAGAGGCTGAATTTATGGAAATAAGTGAAACTAAGACTAAAGTCAGATCTCTAAGCAAACCCCTCCCTGAAATGACTGATGAATATTAAAATGATGAAAAAAACATCTGTTTATATTAAAAGTTTCCCAAGTGATGCAACTCTTGTCGACATAAAAGAATTGTTATAAGATAAAGGTCAAGTACTGAATATTCAGATGAGAAGAACATTATACCAAGCATTTAAGGAATCAACATTTGCTGTGTTTGATAGCACTGGAAGGACAGGGACCTTGCTTTTCAAAGATTACTTTGGAAAGAAAGAAAGGAAAGAAGAGAGGAAGGAAGGAAGGAAGGAAAAAAGGAAGGAAGGAAGGAGGGAGGGAGGGAGGGAAGGAAGGGAGGGAGGAAGGAAGGAGCAAAATGAAATGAAAGCTAAATCACAAGCTAAACAAGAGCAAGAAGAAAAACCAAAGTTAGCAGAAAATGCTGAATTGAAATCGATAGAAGAAAAGATAGGATGTTTACCGAAATGTTGGGGGAACTTAGATGGTCCAACCTGTAGAGAAGACTTGCACATCCTTTTCCCAAATCATAGTGAAATAAAATGAATAGATTTTTGTCAGAGCA